CCAAAGAAGAGGAAGATTGCACTGAGAAGAATATGGACTTCGTGTCTGATTTTTTACACTGTCACTACAAATTTCTGACACTTACGCTTCCAATTATCTGGCGTTTATGTGGTTTTGCAAACCAACTCGGCATGCAAACGAGGTGTCCTAGAAACGTTTTTGTGTTGCTTATTCATCCTAGACATATGTTGAAAGTTTCAAAGGGTATATCCATAAATTTGACGTGTATTGACTTTCTTTGCTCACATTTTTGCGACCTTTTTTTGAGCCAGGTACAAGCTTGTCAAACGATCAGACTCGATTCCTCCCGGCTCGATGAATCCCGGCGTTTCGTCTCCAATGCTTCCCAGCGATTTCGCGTTGCATCCAATCGCCCAGTTGGCCGCCTGTGGAGGATTGATCACCTTGAGCACCGTCGCGTTACAGTTCCATGCGACACTAAACCCGGATGTGTAGCCGTGAGTGATGGTCGCTCGATTCACCAGGCTCAGCGTTCCACCCACCAAGTTCATGTTGTCGTACAAGATCCCTGTCGCAAAGTGGCTGTGAGGTTCCGCTGGCGAGCTTCCATAGCCGGTGCTGTTGAAGAACACGTTGGGACCATTTGCCTGGTTCCTGGTGATGTAGCTAAACTGAAAATCTCCTCCCCGAATGACGCTGTTCTTTACGAGGATCTGTGAGCCTGGAAATTGGATGGCGAGATCTGCTCGTTTGGCGCCATACCTGTTGCTCTGGATGGTCCTCTCAAGGTGCAAGTTGTCGACGGTGACCTTCGTGCCGGCGATAGTAACAGTGTCTCCTCCAAAGTCCACAGCAGCGACGTTTCTCACCCACGAGTTCTCCACTCGCTGGATGTTGAGGAAGTTCCCGGCACCGTACGGAAGAACTTTGTCCTGGACTGCTTTAAAGTTCTCGAGACCAACGTGGCTTGTTCTTCCGGAGATGTTCACCTTGACCAAGTAGGCCGGCTGCGCGGTGCTCAGGTACGCTAGATCGATCCGGAAAGAAACTGGGACGTCGAGGAAGACTCTGCTGCTCGCGTTGTCGATACTGGCGACTTTGCGTTCGATGTATGTTGACGAAGCATTCGACCACCTGTGCGTCATGTTCATGGTCTGGATCCACGCGGAGCTCATCGGCCAAACGATCCTCACGAGGTCCCCAGGATTGATGTCTCGAGTTGAGTTGAGCTGCACGAACCTGGATCCCGACGGCACTGTTGCTATGATCGCGGTTTTCGAGCCAATCTCCGAGACCTTTTCTTGCGGACTCTCCACAGAGAAAAGAGGATAGAAGTGGGGAAAGGTACTGTCATCGCCGTCGACGCGGGAAACGCTTGCCTGGAGAATTGTTTCTTCGCTGCTGCTACCGGTGATGACAATTCCACTGGTGTTGATGGTAAAGCGGTGGCCTCGAACATCAAAGACTCCACTCGAAAGCTGGATTGCTCCACGGTAACCTGTAGAAAGATCCAGAGGCAAGGAAGAAACCTCATTGATGGCCTGCTGGATGGATTCACCATCGCTCTTGTTGCTGCCTTTGTAGTTGCGAGCAGGATAGAGGGCAACTTTCACTGGTATGTTGTCTGGCAGTGCGGCATCCCTTCCCAAGTATCCCACGGCCGAAAAATCCATGATTGTGTCACCTGCATTGGTGGGTTTGTAGACGAGTTTGCTGGTGTTGGCCTCAAGTGACACCCAGTAGATTGGAACGCCTTGAATTACATCTAGACAAGAAAATCTTACAATGATGAGTAGCAGCAAGAGCGCAGGAAGAGTCATTTTTTGCTTGAAAAATTAGAGCTTTTGTTTGATAATTTCGTCATGATTTATCTTTTTCTCAATGTCGGGTAGTTCCTTTGGACTCTAGCCTGGAACCAATTTCTACGTCAATAATGTATGATGGGACGAATACTTTGCCCACGATCTAGTGTCTAGTGAACGTAAAAATCTGGAAAATTACTTGGCATTGAAATTAGATGCCTCTAAACTTATCAGTAGCCTTTGCAGCAGCAAGTAAAGTGATCAATCACACAAAATAATCTTCCTCTTGGAAATCCTGGAAATGCACCTGAAACAAGTGTGACAATCCAAAGAAACTCTCAAGTTCTTCATTACCCGGATGGTCGTCCCTGGCACAGTGCTGATCAATCCAAACGCAATCACCGACTTCTCGCTGTGATGCTTGACCATCTCTTCCTTTTGCTCCTGGCTGACGTCGTGAAGAACACCGGTGGTATAAGGAACACATCCCAAATGATCACGCATCTCGCGTATCAACCTCTGCAAGAGTGAGAATCATCCCGCGACACGAACTCGTGCACAGCATCGCCTACATAGATATTAGAAACCATCACAAACGGACCAGCACTCACCGATTCCGGAGCCACCTCGCGGAAGCTCTCCGCTACCCGAGGGCCTCTCTCAATGCTGCCCTGTGTCTTACAGTACACTTCATCTCGTGTATCAATCTCTGTAACTCCACCACAAGAATCATCCCGCGACACAAACTCGTGAAAAGCCATACATATTAGAAACCATCACAAACGGACCAGCACTCACCGATTCCGGAGCCACCTCGCGGAAGCTCTCCGCTACCCGAGGGCCTCTCTCAATGCTGCCCTGTGTCTTACAGTACACTTCATCTCGTGTATCAATCTCTGTAACTCCACCACAAGAATCATCCCGCGACACAAACTCGTGAAAAGCCATACATATTAGAAACCATCACAAACGGACCAGCACTCACCGATTCCGGAGCCACCTCGCGGATGCTCTCCGCTGCCCGAGAGCCCCTCTCGATGCTGCCGTGCGTCTTACAAGCTCCCAAGAAGAGCACCCACGCTACCGAGTCCGGCTCAAAGGGCATGTTGTTCAAGAGATCCTCGGCCTCGTCCAGCTTCCCGGCTCGCCCAAGCGCATCCACCATGCACCTATAGTGCGTCAACCTGGGGTTCTTCATCTCCACAAAGTTGTCGTAGGCCTCGTCCACGAGCCCAGCGTGGCTACACGTAGACAAGAGCGTTCCATAAGTCACCTCGTTGGGCATCACCCCATCGAGAGCCATCCTCCGGAAGAGCTCCAGCGATTCTTCGCAGTGGCCGTGCTGGGAGTAAGCAGCGATGATCGACGTCCAGGCCACCACATTCTTCCTTTCCATGCTCTCAAACACCTCCCTTGCCTCGTCCAAGCCAGCACACTTCCCATACATGTACATGAGCGCTGTCTGGATCAAGAGGTCTCTGGCGAGCCCATAGTCGATGATACTGGCGTGGATTCTTCGTCCCTGGCCCAAGGCCGTGAGATTGGCGCTGGCTTCCAGCAAGCTAAGGAACGTCATGTTGTTGGATTCCAGTCCCTCTTCTTGCATCTCTCGGTAGAGCTCTAGCGCCTCTCGATAGAAGCCATTCTGTGCCAGGGTCGTGATCATCACGCTGCAGGAGATCGCTGTCCTGGGAGCGATGGAATCGAAGACTTGTCTGGCCTCTTCCACGCTGCCACACTTGGAGTACATGTTGACCAGGCTGTTCTTGAGAGATTCGTCCGTATGGAAGCCACTGGCAATGGCGCGACGGTGAAAGAGCCTCCCGGTACCGAGATTTCCCTGCCAGGAGCAAGAACAAGCCTCGATCAGTGCCAGGAATGTGATCTTGTTCGCTTGGAACGTACCTTCCAGCTCCAAGAGCCGAAATACCGCGATCGCGTCGGCGCCTCGGCCGTGCTGCGCGTAGGCCTCGATCATCGCGTTCCAGGAGACGATATTTCGGGCGGGCATGGCATCGAAGACCTCCCTGGCGCTGGCTATGGCGCCACATCGCGCGTACGCGCTCACCACGGCCGTGGCGACGAGGACGTCGCGATCCATTCCAGCGGCAGTGATCTTCTCGACGATCGATCGCGCCTGGGCGAGGAGCTCCGGGGCGGCGCATGCCGATAGAGCATTCAAGAACGTAACCCTAGTGGCCTTGATACCGTGTAGCTCCATTTTCTTGAGGAGCTCCAGTGCCGCCATGGATTGCCCATTCATGGCATTTGCTCCAATCCAGATGTTCCAGGAGAATACATTCTTCTCGTGGATCTCTTGGAACGCCGCGGCCGCCTCATCCAATCGCCCACACCGTCCATACATATCCACCACGAGATTGCCAAGAAATCGGTCGTGTTCCAGCCGCATCGATCGAATGTGAGCGTGGACGAGCTTGCCCGCCGCGAGGGCATTGAGTCTGCCACATTCTTGGAGGAGCCAGGAGTAAGTCGAGAATTCGGCACGGGCGCCAGGCAGGAGATTGATCCTCACGGCATCGTGAAGCTCACGAATGCGAGGACGCGGCTCCCGGATCAAGGGCAGCGCGGGCTGATCAAATACGGCAGCTCCGCATTTGAGATCTTTCCCTCCAGGAGCTCCTGGAACAGAGAAGGGCATGGCTAGAACAATGGGTTTCTTCGATTGATCGAGATCTCGCAAGTGTAGCCTCGTGTGTAGGGCAGAAGAAGCCATTGAGCGGCGCTACTGCTGGAAATCAGAGGCGACTTCGCTGTGGGCATCAGTAAAGCACAGAGCGAAACCATTGATCGCTAGCGCTAGTTGCGATGCCAAGAATCGAGAGTATGAGCTTCCTGTAGTAGGGCAAAAGCACTGGAGCTCGCGATCGTCCCGTGAAGGAAGAACTACGGTTGTCTGGCCGCTGGACCATTGGTCCTTTGGATCTAGGAACGAGCCACAGGGATGCGCGCTTAGGCGCCGCGCGGCACCCTCGCAGAGAGCATCGTTCCCAAGAACCCTAGATCCAATGGTGGAATTTAAAGCAACACCAGACCATGGCCGTCGATCTGGTCTCTTGTACGAATCTCGTCACTGCCCACTCCAGAAATGGCGACGTCCGGCAATGCAAAGATCTCTTCGACTCATTCCCACACCGTGATCTCGTCTTGTGGAATGCGATGCTATCGGCATATTCCCAGAACGGGCATCTGGAACAAGCGAAGTGGATATTCGAGGAGATGCCCGAGAGAAGCATCGTGTCGTGGAGCTCTATGCTGGCAGCGTACGCTGCCCAAGGAAGATTCCAATGCGCTCAAACAATATTCAATGAAATGCCGCAGAGAAACGTGGTCTCCTGGACCTCGCTCCTCTCCGCATATGCCCAGTATGGGCATATTCCCAAAGCAAAGAAGATATATTCCTCCATGCCGGAGTGGAATCTCGTCTCCTGGACGTCGATGCTAGCCGCATTCTCTCAATCCGGCCACACACAAGAAGCCGAGAGAATATTCCACGAGATGCCCGTACGGAACCTTGTGTCGTGGAATTCCATGCTCGCTGCGTACAGCCGGAGCTCCCAGTACGGCATCGAGGCGAAGGAGTTGTACGATCGGATGCCTGGCCACAATATCGTGGCCTGGTGCTCGATGCTCGTGGCGTACGGGCAACGGCGGGATGTTAATGGCTCGGAGGGGATATTCTTTTGGGCCATGCCCGAATGGAACCTTGTGTCGTACAATGCAATGCTGACTGTGTATGTCCACAATGGACGTGTTGAGAATGCAAAGTGCCTCTTTTCTCAAATGCCTCAAAGAGATTTAATCTCTTGGAGTTCTTTTCTTTTGGCATATGCCCATTCAGGGTATCTTGAGCCGGCTTTGGGAATATTTAACCAGATGCCCGAGTGGGATCTTGTTTCGTGGGGCACGATGCTCTCTCTTTACGGTCAGAAAGGTGAGGTTAATCGTGCGATGGAGATCTTTTACGAGATTCCGGAACGAAATGTGGCTTGCTGGAATTCTATCCTTGCGGCATATGCCCAAGTTGGCCATAGAGAAAGAACAAAAACGTTGTTTGATCGGATGCCCGAGAGGGATATAATCTCCTGGGGAACACTCTTGGCTTCTTATTCTTTCAGCGAAACAAAACTACCATCTTCTTTTCAAGATGTTTCCACAAGTTTCGATCTACTCACAATGACCCGGCTCCCAGACGGGGCGTGCTTTGTCTCGCTCTTGGTGGCTTGCAGCGATGGTGGCAAGATCTTCCAAGCTCGCCGCTACTTCGTCTCCATGATCCACGACTTTGGATTGAAACCCCAGAAGCAACACTACTGCTGCATCGTAGACTTGCTAGCTCGCGCTGGACGCTTTGATTCTGCGCTGGATCTTGTTAGAAACATGCCCTTTGTCCCTGATGCTTTGGAATGGACGTGTTTGCTCGTTTCTTCCAAGTGCCAACAACATAAACTTTTAGACAAACTCTTCGCAAAGAACACGAAGTTACTGGATGGTGGGTCTTTCGTTTTGCTCTCAAACGTGTGTACTACTCAGCTTTGAGTTGATGGCTTTCAAGAACACGGCCACGCGATCGTGGTTCGAACGCCATCTCCAGACACTCCAACTCGATAGTTTTCTTTCTCTTTGGGCAGCACCAACAGACTATGGCGATAAGAAGATCCTCAAGAGACATTGGGTTACACGAAAGAGTGCTCCTTAGAACACTTTAAAAACCTCTTGAATCGATCCTTTTCGAAAAGGTTGGAGTTATTACCTTTGAAGTCTCTACCTTTTATCAATCGCTACATCTTGAGTAGCCTGTGAAAAATGGAAGCCGCAGTGATGCGAACTCGAAGATCCGAGATATCAATGTCGTGACCACCTTCAACCAGTCCCCATTTGGCAATCTGGAAGAAAAAAAGACCATCACAAATGCTATCACCCGAAAGGAAGAAAAAAGATTTTCGCCGTACCTGGAAGTCTTCATCCACGCGAATGGCTTTCATGGCTTTCTCCACGTCGAGGCGTCCGTCTATAATCGCCAAGGCGATGACCAGAGAACGAGCGGAAGCAGTCAGTTGATCCACAGCCGAGAGTTCCCAGTTGTTAAAATCGCCGAGAATTTTCTTGTATGCGTCGAGTACTTCCTTGGGCTGTTTGCCGATCAAAATGCTCGACGTCACGGATGGCTTCGCTCCAATCTTTCCCTCGATCCATTTTACAAGAGGATCCCACTGCTGAGCCTGTTTGTCTAGGAAGAAACCAAGAAAAAAAACGGTGAGTGAATCTCGTTTCAAGTTTTCTGTATGACTTACGAGAGAGAGGCTCAGTCTCTGGAGCACGGCAGTAAACTGAGTCCGCGTGAGAATACTTGAGCAAATTCTCGATGACATTCTCTCTGAAATCTGGAAGTCGATCGATGGTAGTAGCGGCGAGCTTCATGAGCGGCATGGTAAACGGCCGGATTCCTGATTTGGTCTGGAAAAATGCCCCGATGTCAAATGGTGGTCACCAAGTCTGCAGTGGAGACTCGCATTTTAATAAACTCCAGGCATTCCTCTCCTCTAAAAGTTCTATCTCAATCAACAAAGTTGCAAAGAAGTCTCTTTGGAAAAATTTCGCTCCCTTCCTCTCTCGCAAGAACTCAAGAAATTCCAAGAATTCAAACGGTGTGCTTGCTTACCTGCCACTCCCATTCCGCCGCGATCGCGAGCGCCAATCCGGGCGTTGGCACAGACACGGGATTCTTCTTGGGCGTCTTGAGCGTGAATCGATCCAGCATTACCACGTAATGCCCATCGTCGCTGGGGCGCATCCGAGCATGCTTGTAGAATCGCGGCCCGACGCTCCCGCCAGAGCCCGATCCCCCCGCCTTCTCTGGCAACTGGACGCTTTCCTCCTCCGCCGTGGAGGACCATCGCCTCGCCCATGCTGCCCCAAACCCTAACCCTAACTTTCCAGGCCTCGTCCCGCCGGGCCGCAGTGCCAGCGCCATCGCCAAAGCTTGAGCTTCGCTACATTTTTAAGTGGCTGCTCAGCCAGCGGTATATCCACCCTACCAGCGGAATATCCACCACGCTAACGGAATGTACTCTTATATAGCGTCCTAGATGACGGAATATCCACAGTGGGGTTTTTTGTTTGAAAGCCCCGAGCGAGGGAATGGCGACCATGGCGGAGGGCGCCAGGGTTCGCAATCGCCACCAGCAGGTGATGGAGACTGTGCGATCGGCGCGCTCCAGGTTTGAGGCGTGGGAGCGATCTTGCGAGAAGCGCATGGACGAGCTCCAGGAGATGTCGAGATCTGTGAGCCGCGGCGGCCACGGTAAGCGATTTGTGTGTTCTCGTTTCCCCTAAATTTCTCGTCCGATCAGAGGAATCGGAGCAGCTCAAGCAGCATTTGCGTGAGATTAGCGAGCAAAAAATTCACAAAGAAAAAGGTCTGGTTTTCGAGAATTATTTTCCAATGGTGGTTGGAACTTTTCCACTGTACAGAAATTACTGCCCGGAAGCAGCAACACGAGACCTTGAAGAAGATGATCGAGCAAGCAAACGAGAAGAAGATCTACCTTGCAAAACGCTTGGAGTTGCTGAAAGAACGACGAGAAGGTTGTGCTCACGTCGCTGAAGAATCCTTAAAAGGTACGTAGTTTCCAATTGTGCTCATAGAAATGACCATTTCTCTTGCACAGATCTGGAGGAGCGTGTGCGTCGCGTACAGCAGAAAGTAAATGCACAGAAGATCGCTCGCAAGTTTTACAACGACATTCTTGGCATCCGTGCAGACTTCGCGAGCGGTAAGTTCTTCCTCTTCTTCAATTTTTCTTCTCATCATCACATGAGAATATGAAAAACTTTCAGGGATCAAGATCACCTTCACCAAAGTGAATGCAAAGAACCCGGATCACGAATACTCGTGCACAATCCGTCTAGACAAGCACACCAACAAATACGCCAGTAAGTTCTCTCTCTCTCTCTCGTTTTTTCTTCCAAACTCGACTAAAACAAGAGCATGATCAGTGCTGGACTGCGTCCCTTACGTGAAGAGAAGCGTCGATCTACTCGACGACCTCAACATCACCAACGAGTTCTTCGAGTTCCTGCGTTTGATGCGGCGGGAATTCGAGCGGCTGGCCGAGGAATCCGACGCTCGCAGCGTAAGGCTCAAAGATCTCCACACCTTTCAATCCGTCCAGTGAGACAAAGGTGTGGATCTTCTCTCTCCCTCTCTCATTCCTCTCTCTCTGTTTGGTTTTTCTAGAAAGCAGTGGCGGAGTGGTGCTCGAGCCAGCTCCAGACTGTTCAAACCAAAACCATAGCTTGAAAGAAAAAAGAGAAAAAAGGACGAGGTGCGAATATTCCCTGCTAACGTTCCTGAGGATCAGGGCATTTTCAATTTTATTTTTGGTGGGCAGTGGTGGACATGGCGCCAGATTCTTGCGCTCTGCTGCTACTCTGGTCCCAGCCGCAAATCTTTGGATTCCAGCTCGCGATCCTGGTCTAGGGTTTTTCCCCGGGGAAGCAATGCAGGTAGATGGCAAGAGGGTCTAGATTGGCTTCTTCCATGGAAGCCCAAGGGGAAGATCACCAAGTTAATGGCGACGCAGACTCTTCACAGCAGCAAGGCTCTTCTTCCTTGTCTCCATTTTCCACGGTAAGGAGCTCTTTTATTTCCTTCTTGGATTTTTATTTTTTCTTGGATTGCTTAATTGCTTCTATGGAACTTGCAGCTCAAGAGAGCTTACGATAAGATCTACGACAAGTACGAGAGAGACAAGGTAATCTCTTTTTTTTCTCGAGTTTGCGGAAAAGCTGATCTTGCTCTTTCTTTTTCTCTCTGTAGGCCAGGAGGATCGAGAATGCTGAGAAGTTGTTTGAAGAGCACAAGTTACGCACTGCTGCTTACTCGAAAGGTCTCTCTCTCTCTCTCTCTCTCTCTCTCTCTCTCTCTTCTCTTGTGATTTCCATTTAAACTTTGTCTTTCGTTTGTTCCAGCTACGGAGTCGCTAGTAGAGACACTCCGCGAAGAGAACGAAATGCTCCGGCACCTAGTAAAAGAGTCTCAAGTCGAAGAGACAATGGTAAGGTAAGAAAATCCATTTTCCATTTTCACTCACAATCTCCATTGTCTTTGGAATTCTTCCCTCCAGGTTGAAAGAGCTGGAGAAAGAGAATGCACTATACCGGAACCAGCTTCTCATGGCTCAAGCGAGGGGTAAGCTCAAAACGATCGTTTAGTTTTTCGTTTCTCATGGTGTTTCTCTAGACTGTCATTCTGACAGGACGAGAGAAGATCGCTACAGATTTCTCCAAAGACTGTTCGAGCTCTTGAGTGACATGCAAATAACCGAAGTAGAGGATGACAATTCAGCGGCATTTGTTTTCCTCCATCAATCCACAGGTGAATTTTCCTGCTTCTTTTTCTTCGTGTTGGCATCAACTTAAGATCGTTGCTTCGTTTTTTTCCTTCAACAAGGTCTCAAGTTCTCGCTGGAACCTGTTGTTGACCCCGACACTGCCCGGATTTGTGGTGGCGACAGAGAAGTGAAATTCACGTCCTTGGCGCTTGGGTCACTGCGCTACATCGCTCCGGAATGGATGCGTGAGAGCATCACGTTTAGCATCAGCCAGGCTCCAGTTTTCTTCCGGAGGATACAAACAGTGACAAGAGGAAGGTCCTGACGAAAACGAAAACGAAAAAGTTACAAAAAGAAAGACAAAAGAGAATTTACTTCTTTCACGGTACTACACCGTTGTAAACTTACAAACTTTCCATCGCTTCGAGTTGATTTCCAATTCATTCTATCGCAAGCATGGAAGTGTAGTGTTCTGGATATGATATTTGCAACCTGTATCAAAACAAGTGATCAAAATTGTAAACATAGATTCATTCGTATACCCGTGTGGGACACAAAACTTTTGTTCCCATCGCAGAGGCTGTCGATCGCTCCTGCTGTAGCAAATCTTTGAAGCAGCGAACCCGACACCCGCTCCTCCTGATCAAACAAAGCATTCGAAGTAGGTGATCAAATAAACCAGATGAGAATGGCACCAACTTGCTTACCACGAGCTCCCGATGCGTTCTTCCAGCTATAAAATTCTCCACGCCCGGAGTTCTCCTTCGACACTGTCACCCAATTCGGTAAAGAAGAAAGGAGACTTAGAGATGTCTGCTCTTACTTTTCTACTGTTCTTGGTCCCAGCTCTTGTCACCGCCATTGCTCCAGCTCCATCACCTCCTCCGCAGTGCAACTGCCTTCCAAATCCTCCACCCTCTGATCCTCACGCCTTCGGATTCTATCCCGTGACAATGGTGCTGCCACCCAATCCAAGCGCGAGCTCGCCAACTTTCGCTGCCACTATCACCTTCTTCCCAAACAACGAGCACGACAGCGACGAGGCCTTCACTCCCATTCCTCCACAGCTCGTCAATCTCACACTCGATTCCAGCTGCAACCAGATCATCCTCCCTTTCCAAGACTGCTACCGCCTGCGCTTGCAAGACACCTGCGCCGATCGATTCATTCGCTGCAACGCCACCACAGCCGCGTGTGGTTCCAGCGATGGCGAGATTGTCTTCCCCTCGCAAGCTCCACTCAAGCTCTCCTTCAACACCTCTCTTCCTCTCCCCGGCCTTGATCCATCCTCGGCCACTGTCCCCATCCTCTGCTCTAGCGGAAGAAACCCGGGCCAAGGAGTCGCCGGACTCGCCCCCTATCGCCTCTCGCTCGTCGTCAACGTCCATCGCAGGCTGGAAGCTCTCAATCTCCGCAAGATCTTTGGCTACTGCCTGGGAAGACCTCGAGGATTCTTCTTCGTTGGCCAGCCCAACTACGTTTTTCCCAACACCACCATCGCTCCCATGAGCTACATCCCAACGCTGCGCTGGGACGAAGACGTTCTTCCTGTTCTACACCTCACCGGCATGGCGATCCACGGCGGCGACGAATTCGGCAACGTCACGGCGCCGCTGGAAGAATCCGTGTTTGCCGAGGGCCTGGCGATTGGAACCGGGAGACGCTACCTGGCCCTCGTCGATCCGGCGTACCAGTGGCTGCGCAGCACGATGATGGCCATGGCCAATGCCTCCTCCCTGGTGCCGGCGCCGTCGCCCTTCCACGAGCTGGATCTGTGCTATACCCTAGCGCCCGACATGACGATCGATGGGCATGGGCCGCTGCTGGAGCTCCGCTTCGCCGGGAACAAGAGCTGGACGATTGATCCCTTGAATTTCCTGGTGGAGACGCCCTCTCACCTGGTGTGCCTGGGAGCCGTGAGCACTGGATCGTCCCAGGGCCTGTCCTCGCTTGGAACCCTAGCGCAAGAGGAGCTCATCGTGGAGTATAACTTTGAAGAGCAAATGGTGGGAGTCAGTGGATCGCTGCCACGTGTAGGGACGGGATGTGGCCAGCTCGGCTTCCCAAACTAGTTAAAGGCTGTAGTTAACCTAATAAAAACATAGTTTAGTAATAGCATTAATAACTCTTAATCCGCCACCTTTTGGAGTTGTTCTAACAATCAATGACCACATTTTCGCACAGCTTGTCCAAGCCATCTTGCCATGGATACTCGGAGTAATTCGCCCCAACATCATAAGTCCGCTTCTCTTCGTCCAAATCCCCAGCCTTTTTTTCCTCTTTCTCAGCGTTGCATTCATGCTCCTCGACGTGGTGCTTGTAGTTTGCAGTGCTGGATCCAAAGCTGGATGGAGGGAGTGTCTCCTGACGACATCTCTGCGATGTCCGCGAGAAGACGTAACTGTTGAAGAGTAAGAAGAGTCCTTTCAGAAACCACAGTAGCATCCCCAGGCAAACGATCCCACCCATGGACGATGTTGCAATCAAGTTTCGCTGCTGCTTGTGCTCCGGAGGAAGGACCGAAAACCCCGCAGCTCCAAATGCTAGCAGCCCGAAAGTGATGGAGATCGCGAGCGTCAGTCCGGCCGCGAACAAAGTTCGCTCGATCCGCTTCACCACCTCCTGAATGAAGATGTCCGGCATTGGGAGCACACCTCGAGCTGCTGCTAGCGTGCTGGCCATGGCGAAGAAGAAGGACAGGCTGTTGAACCACACGAAGAGCTTGACACCAATCTCGTTGATGTAAACGTACGTCCCCTTGAGGCCACCGGGAGGCTGGAGGAATCCCTGGAAGCTTATGCTTGCGATGAGCGCCGCCCCGACGAGGATCGCGTTGAGAGCGTCCACGAAAACTTGGCGATCCCGGTAGAGTATCTCGAGGTAAGCTCGGACGTCTTCGCGAGAGGAGAGCTCCTTTCGGATATCTGGATGCTGGCGTTCCACCGCGTACCTGTATGGCGACTTTGAGTGACCATCGTCGAGGTTGGCTTTGCATTCCCGGATCTCACAGAGCTTGGTCACCACATCGTTGTATCCCAGGATGGTTGCCCAGTGCAAAGCCGTTCTCTTCGTGTGGCTTCCCTGCTCGTTGACAATGTCTCTCCACGCTCGTCGAGTGTCGATGAACTTGACTATCTCTTGCCTCTCCTCGTAGAAGAGCCAGAACGCAAATGGTATGTCCTCCTGGAGCTTTTCGGCTCTCTTGCCAAAGCGCTCCACGTCCCGGCCTTTGAGCTTGACCCGGAGATCCTCCACATTCCTCTCGAGAAACGTGTTCATGCTCTTGAGGATGTCCGCCATCTTGTACTTGCAGTGCCTGTGATCCGCGAGAGAAGCCGCGAATTCCATCTTCCCGTGCTGTAGAGCGCTGAGCAATGCCGAGGCCATCTTTCTCTCGAACAAGCCCGGATCACTTCCATATGTGATGTATCGCTTGAGCAGCTTCATCACCAAGTTGATGCTTTCCTTGTTTCCTCTCTTGGCAGCCCAGTCGACGAGGTCGGACGCTATCAGCAACCTCTCCAAGTTGGCCGAGTAGTTTTGCTTCTTCTTCTCGATCGCGTAGTCTAGACTTCGATCTAGCCTCTCAATCATGCCGGAATCCCCGTATCCTATCACGTACCTCACCAAAGAGATTTGCGGGAAAGCTCTTCGATCCAGCAAGCCTTGCTCCATCACAACTCTCAGAAGATCCCGGACGTGCTCTCGGCCATGCTCTTCGGCAAGCTCCAGCACGCTCTTCCCAGCTCTATTCTCCGAGAAGACTCGCAATCCTCGCCCCACGCAAGCCTCCACGAGGAGCCTCACTGCTTCTTTGTCACCTCTCATGGCCGCCCAGTGTAGCGGAGTCCCCTTCTCCACAACGTCGCGGGCTTGCAGCGACGCTCCTCGCGCGAGCAGCCACTTCATCGCCGCGATCCTGCCGTTCCACGCCGCGTAGTGCAGCGCCGTGAGCCCGGATCGACTGGCGGAATTCACGTCCCGCGGCACTGGAAGGCGCGCAAAGATGAGC